CATGTGATGACGGAATTTCCGGATCCGGTCGTTGCCTTTCTACGACGGTTACGAATCCTCCATCGAGTTGCAACTGTATCAATGGCCAGTGTGGCTCTAATGGGCAATGCAGTTGTCTTCCAGGTTGGACGTCAGCATCCAACGGTACCCAGTGTGCTGCTTGTGCAACTGGATACTTCCTCGATTCATCGGGTAACTGTGAAAGTAAGGAATCATCTCAACGCTATGGTACCTGTGCTAACTGTGCTACAGTTTGCCAACTCGGTTGTTCCCAGTGTGCTGATGGCTCGGGCGATTGTATCACGTGTAAATCTGGCTACACGCAGGATGCAAACGATCGTATGAAGTGTGATGCTGCTTCCCAGACGACCTCTGGCGGCACAACTTGTCCTGATGGCAGCTACAGCAACGGCACAAGTTGCGAGCCGTGCGCTACAGAGTGTCAAACATGTACCGGGTCAACCTCGAATAATTGTGTAATTTGCGCTTCAGGGACTTACTCACTCAATGGGTCGTGTGTGCAGACCAACAGCGTTGGTGTCTGCCAGGGTTCTTCCCTCATTGCCAACAACAATAAGCACGAGTGTGATAGTAAGTTGCCACTACACGTGGAGGTTGGCCGTTTTTCTCACTGTATCTACAGCTTGTGGACCCAAGTGTACATCCTGTCAGATACCAAACTTTAATGTCGCCTCCACTACCAACCAAGCCCAATGCACTGGTTGCTTGCCTGGTTATGTACTTTATCAAGGCAACTGCATCGAGAGCTGTCCTTCGGGCACATTTTTATCTCCCACAGACAACCTTACCTGCACAGGTATGTACCCCTGCTTCGATCCCTTGCACCATGTTGCTGACTGAGCGTTTGGCAGCCTGTAGCTCGTCATGCAGCACTTGTTCTGGAAGTGCCAGTTATTGTTTGACATGTGCGAATAGCATGCTTGCATCGAATGGGCAGTGTGTTAGCTCGTGCCCATCCAACGCTTTCAGCTCCTCGGGCGCTTGCGTTGCGTGCCATCCCGACTGCGCAACTTGTTCCGGCTCGGCTTTCAACCAATGCACAAGCTGCAACCAGACACTTCCCGTACTTACCAACGGCCGTTGCTTGGCGACCTGCAGTCAAAACCAGTATTTCGACGCCACTTCGTCCACATGCCAGTCTTGTGACAGCAGTTGCTCGAGTTGCTCGGGGTCAGGTCCAAGTAATTGTCTAGCTTGCTCGAGCTCGAGTCAGGTGCTCCGCGGGGGTTCCTGTGTCGCGGCTAATTGCAGTAGCGGAACCAATATCGTACCTGGTCTCGGCGCATGTTTATCCGAACTTGTGCTGGTCCCGTCGTCGACCGGTGGTTCGGCTGCCTTGCCATCGATCAGTGGCCTGTCATCTCCTGTTTCCACGACAACTCGTCAGTCACTGTCGTGGTGGGAAATTTTGTTAATGACGCTTGGCTGCGCCTTTATATTTATGGCATTCCTTTGGTGCTGGCGCCGACGTGCTCGGAAGAAAAGAGCCAAGGCAACAGCCGCGTTTGCTTCCGCCAAAGCTCTCGATCGAAAGACAAACTGGCGACAGCGTCTTCTGGGATTATTTCGTCACTCGCCAAACCCACCTCCTCCGGATAATGAAGAGATTGCTCTTTGGAAGCTCCGGGCCGCGGAAGAAGCGCACCACGATCGGGAACTGGAGAAATTGATCGGGGCATACGAGTATTCTAGGGCGGGGTCAAGCCGTTGCCCTTCTCCCCTTCCGTCGCTCCACGATCGCAAGTCCCACGGGGCTTGTGACTACGATTCTCACCGTTTGTCTCGGGAGTCGCTTTATTCCCAGGTTACAGGGATGCCGCGTAACGGGCCTGAACCCCGACAGCCTGTGAAGTCGAATCCGTTGACATCGCGATTCTCCACCACAACTATCGCCTCGTCCGTGTGCAAGAAGCCGAACGTTCTCAGGCGCGAACTTACGCCGCGGAAGCCACCGCCTACAGATGCAGAGGCATATGCAACATCTGTCCGGGAGGCTACTGACGAGATCGGATCATGCTGGGTGACGCCAGTTAATACGGGCGGATCACGCAATCCATTTCGTCAATGAGTTGTCTTCCTTTCTTCTGGTTCATACTCGCCCTCTTAATCTAGCGGGATTACATAGAATAGTTAGCAAATTTTTCATCACTCTTTTGCATTCTTCTTTCATTTCCACTCACCGCTGGACCTTGTACTATTGTATATTTCATTCGTTTTAATACTTCGCACGTACAGTAACATGTAAACGACTCAGACCTTGTGTAGCAATGCAATCCAATTAGCATACCCATGGTATATCTTCCCTGTGTGTGTGTTGTGTTACGTAAACAAGCTAATGTAGTCGGCTACTCACCAAATGTCAGGTTGACCACACTGACGCGCTTGACGCGCGGTAATTGCCATTTCCCTGAGCCGCTGTTCATTTGAGAGTGCCATGCGTACGTCGATGGCACTCGCTGGGTGTTGTTTCCGGTAAGTGTGGTCCTGAATATCTCGATTGGTGCAGTCAAATTTGTCACCAGTTACACTGTGTCCGCCAATTTATAGGGCCATAACGTCCCCACGTGTGCAATACGCACTCTCAGGAGCGCGCATAATATCACAGCTTTCAGTAATCCCCGTTACGGTGAAACTCTATCCCGGAAGTGCTGTACAGGACATGCCGTCCATATTAAGCGGCAGGGCGAATGTTCGGCCAACACTTCCCCGATTCCCCACATCGCTCGTCCACCGGTCTCTTCTCCCTCCCCGCAGCCATGCTCGCTGGCTCAGGCGGCTTGGCGCAACAGCAGGAAGCCCAACCGCCATCCGTGGCATGGTATGACGAGATTCCTGGAAGTATCTGTGGTCCTGAGGATGGCCCCTGGCCCCGCGCCTTCACCAATCTCACGACGTCCGAGGCATGGAACAAGTTGTCGCTAGCATCCGACCCTCAAAGCCTTGCTTATGGTACTGGTGAGAAGTGGAGAGCTGACGCTCTCAACTTTCAGCCCTTTTCTGGTGCGAACAGTCAGGACCGCTACGCCATGCAGCAGCTGCACGTAGGCGGCCGAATATGGACTCTCACCGCTGTATTCGATGGTATGTCTGATTGACTACACTTTCCACTCTGGAGCTATATTCAATGAGTTTGATTTTCCAGGACATCTTGGAGACGCTACCGTGCAACACGCCGCTTACCACGTACCTATCATCGTCCGCGAGTTTCTGGAGGACCTTGACAAAAAGCATGGTGGACGTATTGTCCCCCCTCCGCTGATAGCGGACGTATTCAGCAGTGCCATCCGCGCATTCGACGATGCGATTGCCAATGACGTCCTGGAGCTATTTCCAGGTGGTTTACATGCTGCTATAGGGATGCCCGATCAGCAGATCCACACCATCCTCAATGATCAACTTGTGGGTGGAGAGAACTTTAAACGGGCAAGGCTTTGCATGTATGGTACCACTGCACTTGTAGCACTTGTCGACCCTGATCACACTAACTTGTGGCTCGCTAATTTGGGCGATTGCCAAGGAGGTAAGCGAAGAAACGGCTCATTTCGTGGAGCCTTCGCTCATCATCAAGTCTCACGGTAGTTATGGTATCAGAGACTGCGCCTCAGGTCTGGAGTTATGAAGTCTTGACTCGGGTGCACAACGGACAGAATAAACGCGAAGTGGAGCGCGTGCGAAGGGAACACCCAGGAGAATCGGAGTGTATCGTCGATGATCGGGTTTTGGGAGCTATTGCCCCTTTTCGATGTCAGTAGCCGTCACGCGATGTTCTGCGCTATGTCATAGCTGATGATTATTTGCAACTCTAGGTTTAGGTGACACGCCATTTAAACAGCCTCCGGAGTTCACGAGACGCATCCTATATAACCTCTTCCCGGGTAACCGCGATATTTCTCTGTGGGAGGAATTCCTAGTGCGGAACAAGACCCCGCCATACATTTCTGCGGTGCCCGAGGTCACACACTTTCCGCTAGACCGCTCGCAGGGGCCTCTACGAAGATACCTCATACTATGTTCGGACGGATTCACCGATATCTGTGGACAGCACCAGCGCAGTGTAATTGACCGATGGTTACGAAGCATGCCTGTTGCTGGTGGCCGTTCTGCTACGATACCACCTAATAGGGCTTTACAACTACTATGGCAGGGTCTCGGAGGCGAATCGGTTAGCATTTCTAAGACATTGACACTTGACCTTGATGTCCCCTGGTTAGATGACATCAGTATTGTGGTTCAATCACTGTAGTCATAGCATGTTTTTTTACTGGTGTTATACGTTACTGTACTACGCTAATCGTCGATCCCGATTGGGGTGCGTGTTTCTGTTTCTTGTATGTATTAAACTCTCTATTGCCGACTAGTTAGGTACTGACCCAACGAAACTATGCTTTTTGCTTCCGTATCGGAATGATAATTTTGGCTTTTCCTTGCCCACTCTATGGAATTTCACGTGCAAAAGTCTTGTATGTCCAACCGTCTAGTTTCATCCTTAATAACCTTGCAACAGTTATTTCCACCTTGTAAGGGTGCTGGTCTGGGGCGCCCCGACAACGATGGGGTTTGCCCCCCGGCTGTGAACACAATTTGAATATTGAAGTATGAGGATCAGACTGACATGATTCCATGAAACTTGGCTTGGGCGTCGTGGTTAAAAATGGCCGGAATGATCCTAAGGCGCCCAATCTAGATGACGGGAAGCATAGAATTGCCGACAATGACAACCCCGGTGTCTTATGGTGCAGTGCAACTGACCGATTTCGTGGACCAGGCAAAATGCGATGATCGCGTTTCGTATTGACGCTGCAAGCCTCGGCCTGGCTATTACATGTGTACCCGAACTTTCTCCATAGAAATGGCATATATTAGAACCACCGCAAGGACGTGGCTGGAACTTGAACTAATGATCCACCCCTTGTTGAACTACAGCATGATAGCCACAACACTGTAAAAAGTAAAATCACTAAAAATCAGTGTCCATGACACTGAAGTCATGGACGCATCTTTTCAGTGTCATCGGTCTGACAATGATTTTAAGTGTCAGTGTAAATTGCATATGTGATTTTCAACATCAGTCAAGAAAATCAGTGTCGTAGCATTGAAAAACAGTGTCAAGTGTAAAAAAGCTCGTCTACATCTTCCATCTCACTCTCGTTCTCCTCTGGGGTGCCCTCCCATGTCCCCATATCCGCAAAACCTCGTGCGGACGCTGCTGACATTCAATCAATGATACCCCACCACTTACCTACAGGGACCAGGCCCACCACAGCCTTTAAGCTTCGCACGTCGGTGACAATTGTTGCATGGTGGGACAACAAGTAAGTATTCTCATTTGCAGCATCCTTTCCTTTGGTATTCCATGGTGTGATAAGAGCAAGGACGAGTGTCTTGCCACTCAGAGAGGGGAAGAATTTGTTTGGTGGCAGGGTGAGCATGAATATCTTCTCCAGATCACCATACCCGATAACTCGAACCAAATGACAATTATGTGCCTCGAGAATTACTTCATACTGGTCACATATGTTGGAGTTTATCACCTTTACCTTAGTTGTGGTTCACCGAGCACAGCATTATGTAATCCAAAAGCGGACACTTAGCAGTTTATTTTTTCCTTACTGCACCTCAGCTTCAACCAACTTGAAGTCTGAGGTGGGACTCCTTCCATTCATTATATTGGAACACTTACTTACCTACCTACAGTATATTCCTCTCCATAGGTAGTTCATTGTTTAGCTTCAACCAACTTGAAGTCTGAGTATATTCCTCTCCATAGACTTGACAATCCTGCAGTGTGTCATCCTCCAAAAACATATGATGTCATTAAACTGACTGTGTAGTATTAGTGATATTGAGCGCACCTTGATGTAGCAGTTCCTCCTCACTGGAGCTGCTGGGCTATGTGAGACAGCTGCTGTCTGGAAGAAATTGCCACCTCCATGTATCTGAAGCTTTCCAGTGAATAGGGTTGGGAGTGGCAAATGGATTTTCACCTTGCTCTCTCACTTTCCTAATACCTGAGCCACATATTGAGTGATCTTTTGCTGAAGTGAAGGATCCTGCTGAGTGACCCTCTTGAATGGAGGGTGAATGATATGGTTGGGGTCTGATGTTGGCAGCACTCAGTTATGTGTCATGAAACCAGAAAAGATGGGTACTTACATCCCTCAAACACATGTTCAAATACTGTTGGTCCATCATCTTCATGGTCATCCCACAAAGCGAGTTCAGCCGAAACATCATAGCACACAGAGAGTTGCTTGAGTATGACAGAGTGTAGCAATGTGTTGTTCAAGTTGCTCCATGGCTGGTGTCAGGAATGCATTGATCGCTGCAATGTCCCACAATACCTCTCCATGAAGAAGCTCCACATTGTCCAGGCTGGACCACAGTAATGAATTCCCTCAGCAACATGAAGTAGACTGTGGACAGTGAGTGTGCATGCTGGCAGACGTTCAATGCAGTACTGATAATAATACCTGAAAAACAAAAAATAGCTTTGATGAGTATCACTGAAATGCTCGGCATCGAAGGGAAAAAATGAAACACTAACTTCTCGTATTTTTGTACCCATTTTCGTAATTGTGCTTCGATGTCGCCCATGTCTTCCTCTGTCAAGTGAAACCATAACATGAGCTTCATCAACACACTGAGTTTGCACACATGCACATAGTACTTCTGCTTCGGAAACTGGTTTTCAAGTAAAATTAAAATGGGTGCGATGTACAAGAACCAGAAGCACCATGAATCAGCCATGAATTGTGAGCGATTGGTGGCAATATTTCCTAGAACTTGTATGAATGCTGCAGGTATATGTTGCACAGCAGCCATCATTTCTTGTGTGATCTCTTCCCATACCTTCACTGTGATCCTAAATTTGTCAGTGCTGGATTCAAGACCTTTGAACTGCCCAGTCCATAGATTGACAAGGTTTGGGATAACGTTCTCCAAAAGGAGGTGAAACCACTCCCAGGGCGCTGAGCATGCATAATCCAGTGAACCAACTCTCCACAGTCCAGGTAAACCATGAATACCTGTCTTCTTTGCAATCCTTCCCTTTGCAGCCTTTGATGGTGCCTCGCTGATGTTCTCAAAAGTAGAGATAAAATTGCGGTGGGTGTGCATTGGGAGATGTTCTGGATCCCAGATAAGGGGGTTTGGGGTGTTCTTTGGGGGTTGCAGCACAGCATAGTGAGTCTTCCCTAAACCACGCACTGCCTTTATCTTGCACGATCGGCATGGAAAGATGGAATTATGGCCTTTGATCTCCAGGAATTTCTGGATTGCGAGGATGTCTCCCAGTTTGAAGATGATGTATGTGTGTAGGTTGAACAAGACCCTCTTGTCAGCATCAAATGTCAGAACTCCGTACATGAGTTTGGCCAGCTCGTCGTCGAGAGGTGAGAGGAAAGATGAAAGCTCCTTTGGCTGCCTTGGTCCAGGAATGATCCCAACACAGATTAAATGTTCGTGATGAGTGCATTGAGTCGGTGGAATATTATAGTTTTGCGGTATAATCGGTGTTGCTGTTGGTCTGCCTTGATTACTCTTGTACAACAGATAGCTATCAGTGCAGAGAGCAAGTGCAATGTCATGGTGATCACAAAAGTAACAATATGGAAGCCTTTTACCATCCACTTCAACGTATTCCCCTACCAATTTCTTGTAATGGGTGCCATTGAAAACATCTGAGATACTGCCAGGGGTTGACTTGTAGCTTGCTTGATAGTCCATCAGGTGGATCATTTGAGGGCTCTGGAAGAGCCCTTGCAGTCATGGGAGAAGAGGAAAATATGTGAATTGACAGCAGGGTTTTCGATTAGGTTTGAACCATGGTTGATGACAATGTGGGCAAACAAGGAGCTGTCGGTATTTCCTGGCATAGAGAATACACGATTTGGGGCAACAGTCATACTCGATGGTGGTGACAGCTGCAAGGCATGCAATGCATTTGAAGATGACATATTCAGAGTTGAGGTTGATTTTGTGATGGAATGCCCAATGCATCTGCTTGAATGCAGTTTGTGTGATCCTCCCCCTCAAAAGTAAATTGAATGCTTGGATATTGTCCCTGTCGCTGTCAGAGAGGATGTCGTTCCCTATCACAAAATTCAGTTACAACAGTTGATGAACCAGACATTTTTTACTTATGAATTTCAAAGAATTCATCCACAACCTTTCGTTTCTCAGCATAATCTAGTGTATCCATAAGCTCCTCCATGCTCCAAAGCTCCTCATCTGAGTCTTGGTCCTCCACCCAATCCCAGGAACCAAACTCCTCATCTTGCTCAACTGAGGGCTCCACATGTGAGCCTAAGCTTGAGGATCTATCATCATTGTCATCAGAGGCATCTGGATTGGGACTTGATTGGTCTGGAATACTGTCATCGTTGTCTGACAAAGATATGATATGCTGATCAGTTAGCTTGCTCGGTGGTTAGGCAAATACAAGAACACGAACCTGAAATCTTGGGTGCAGTAGCATCAGCCTCTGCATCCAAGTCTGACGAAATGCTCTCTGATGCTCATATCTGCCCCACAAGGCCATTGTTTGCTAGGTCCCTGTAATGCTGGCAGCACTGCTTGAGGCTAAGTATTTTTCTGCATGTTGGGAGACAATGCCACCGTTTGCAATAGTTTCGACCAGGATGAGTCTTCACCCTGCACTTGTGCTGCATTGTGACAGCACCACAGCAGTTGTACCCATGGTTTAGAGACTTGAAGACTTGACAGAATTTTCATGTCGTCTGAGCACGTAAGTATCACATGACCTACCTCACGAGCTGTTTCGCATCTTCCCTTTCCACCCCTAACAGTTGTTAATTCACGATGGTCAAAGTGCCAAAACTGTATAATGCGAAGCAAGCACCACAGCTATCAACCATCGGTCAAGCAATTGCATCACTACAAGAACAATTAGACTCATATACTCGTAAGTCAGATCTTGTGCTGTATGCCATCTGAATGATTGGTAGCATTTATCTTTGTACATAGGAAACTAGTGCACTGATGACTTGGACCATTGCAAAAAGAAGACTAATAAAGAACAGGACTCCTTGATAAATGGTAGCAGTCAGGATTTGATTCCCCAACCAAAGGGCTGCCCAGGATGAAGCAATGGAAAGGGCTACAGTATTGTCAAGGCAATGGGCCTCTCGAAGAAGAAGGAATTCTTTAATCACCTCAAGGTTGTATTTTTTTTTTCCCATAGATGACGCTGATCTCGCTGATAAAAGTAGCGTGGTATTCACAAACTCGCAAACCGGAAACTCGATACGAGTTGAATGATAACACAGCAAAAAAACAAGCTACTCATTGAGAAAGTTATTTTTCAGGTGCATTGCTGTCATATATATGCATATATGCATTATAATCTCTATGTAGGCACAATTAGAATACAAGATGTTCCAGAAATACGAAAATGCATGGCCAGTGTGAGATTTATTGGTGCAATATCTGTGCAATAGTTTGCAGTTAGAGAAGAAAGCTACCTCAAACCTCGAGGTGCATGATGCAATAAATGATTTTGTTTAATTCACCAGGACTCATCACAACTATACAAAACACAGTGCAGGATTGGGAAACAAAAAGCAGAAGAGATCTGTGGTGATGAAGAATCAGATTTTTGGGACACTAATGAGGATGCATCCATCATTGACTTTGATCGTCTGCACTTGGAAACAGATAGCCCGAGTGAAGCAAGTGACGACAACAGCGGTGAAGACCTATCAGAAGACGGGCAAGACAGTGACAAAGACAAAGACAAAGACAACGACATAGTGCCAGTCAAGAGAAATTCTACAAACCTACCAGCCTCAGAAGTATGTAGCAAGACATCCAAGTCTGGTGCATGCGGATCATCAGGTGAGTAGCATAGATGATTTGACATGTACTAATCATCTATGGGCCATTGTAATAGATCATAACGAACGTCCAAGTCGTCCTCGAAAAAAACAGCACAAAGAAGAATCAGAAGATGAGCATGGCAGCGAAAGTGACGAAGACGACAATCTGGCACCAGTCAAGAGAAAATCTGTCGTGCCAGCCTCACCGGAACACACTAAACGTAGCGAGATGTCCAAGCCCTCTGGGCAACTATTGGGTGAGCTTTGCAGATCAGACCTCATCCATCACTAACTCTCTCGTCTCACTAGATGATAGCAAACTTCGTCCTCAGAAACAACAGTGGGAGCGAGCCGACATCGCTGAAAAGCAAAAGACGGTAATGGCCAAGCCTGACCCCAAGGTGAATGAGTATAGCAAGCTCGATGACAGTGTAGGAAGTATTACCTGACATTCAGTCATACTCACCAAAGCAGAATGCTTGAGCAATGAAGGCACTCTCAAATTCGAAGGTATTCTATGTGGGCTAATGGCAAACCTGTACTGACACCAGCATTACAGACCGCTGTAGGATGCTCTATCAAGATCACAAACGTGAGATTGCCTCCAAACAAGGATGAGGACAAGGATGACACTGATTATCGTGAGCTCGCTGCCACTGCCACCGCCGACAGTCCCATCGCAAGTCACCAGCCACCAAAGACGTGTCCTGGAATGGACTGTGAAGATGCGATCCCCAACAATATCCCTGACCAGCTCAAGACTGCCTTGTCCACCTACGTTGGCCTTGTCAAGGAAAGGAAGACCAATATTCATTTGGAGATGGATATCTGTATCTTAATCAAACGAGAGCATCGTCGGCTCAAAGCCCTCAAGGTCGCAGAGGCAAAAGGTTGGCCAGCCACGAAAATTGAGTTCAAAGATATCCCCTCTTGCATTCTGGAAATGTATGACGAACTCGAGAAACTTTTGTTCAATGCGGAAGCACACGAGAACCTCTGGCTCTGGACCTGTTTCAAAGCCGACCTCGAAGTGAATCATTACACAATAGCGCAATTTGCTCAAATGTGCGTCCCTCCAATGTCTTTGGCGATATGGGAAAACTCACGCTGCGGATAGTAAGTAGTCTGCATTGTGTTCCTTGAGAACATTTAAAACTGATGACATCCCAGCTATGGTTCGAAAGGCACTGCAATTGTTATGCACACGCTACTCCAGCTATTTCCACCAACGACGTCCACTGATGCTTTTCAGCCTCTTTCACTTTTGCAGTACCCAACCTACTTCATAATTCCCCATGTCGTCTGTCAGTTTATCGCTCAAGACTTCGGCCTTTTGTCGACCATGCCCGTGCACAATATCATGGTAGAAAGTAACGATGTTGGCGAACTGATCAATCCTGAGCGCAATGACGATGATGAGCTCGATCAGATAAACGTGCAACGACATTCACTCTTAAACAGAGAAACCTCAAGGGCTGAACGATCCATGATGCTGCTAAGGCACTGGTTGCGCTTCAATATGCAAAGACAACTGATGTTCCAGGCACGAGTGGTGTGCATCTTTTACTTTGATCTCACAGAGCTGACAGCAATAGGATCAGTCAAACGCTCGCCCAAAACCGCATCTTGTGCTTCGTCCACCAAAGGAGGGAGCCCCTTGCATGTCTAGTGCTTCGGGTCAGCAAGAAACCATTCAGGTCCATTGAAACATAGCGATTTGACCACAGAATCACTACACACCGCATTTCAACCATCCAGGTCGCCGCAAGCACTAGTGGTGCTTGCATAAACACAACTACGAGTCATTCTCAAGTACTGGGGAAAAAGCCTCGTGGCCGGCGAAGTAAGAAGGCCCCCGAGACGGTTGAACAGGATCCTCAGGCTGTGGACGCCGCAGTGGTGGTAAATCCACTCTCTTATCTCTTGGTTGGCTTGCTAACAAGGTCGATCCTGACATAATTCAGACACAGGCTCGATGTACACCCCGAAGTGCGCGATCAAAACGTTAGGTCCACATCCAAATCCTCCTCCCTCACACATTTTCGATCGCTGCTACTCAACCGCTCTCGTTTGGCTGTCATTGCACTGCCGGCTGCTCCTCCTCGAATTCGATCACTTTTGCCGGACCGTTTTCATTTCTATCACTACTGTGTTGCTCGGTCTTGTTAGCTCCTGCTGGACTTGTGATGGATTACTGACGCTTTCGTGGAATACCCTGTTATATGACTGTGCTGTGGGTGTCTCTGTAACCTCAGGTAGCGTTTGAAATCACAATTTTGTGATTTGCCTGGTTATTTCCATGACAAGTGGGACGTATGTAAGCAAGCATGAAAACCCGTGCTATCGAAGCAGAAAATGAGCGCTCGCATCAACTTATTACAGTGTCGCGACGTGGAAAAACAGCTACAAGGCAGTGTTATTCAGTACTTACGACGTTTTTTTTTCGGTGACGAAGACACTATTTTTTACTAGACCGGATGGGCACTTCAGTGTCACATTATGATGCTGAAATTCAATGACTGACACTGATCTTCAGCTGTTCCGACACTTAACAGAAGTGATTTGGACATTTATTTTTATTGATTTTACTTTTTACAGTGCAACATGTACTGGCTACGTAGTTGGACTCTACGAGACAGATGTATTAGAGTTCGGCCTTTTCCGGCCGCGGATTCGCCATTCTAGGAACATGCTGACGTTAGCAATCTGGCTTCAATCCGCAGTCATGAACTCCTTGCAAGGATACACACAGCAGTTGATCTTGTTTTGAGCGGGACATATGGAACATACCAACATTTTGTCGAATGAACAGCCTATCAGTAGCGGGGCCAGGACGAACGCAAAGCGAAGTCGTTCCCAAAGCGAGAGTCCTGAAGACCTTGGGCAGTCCTCAAAGACGACGCTGCATCATCTGAATGGACCTGAAATCAATGCTGAGATATACGGGGCCTCCCACTTTGGACAGTGGGGGGAGTACATGCAACGCAAGCGCGCGAAGTTGCAAATTCAGAACACCAGTTTGGAGAGCACATCTGACGAAAAGAACGGCCTCTTTCGTGGAATTTCAATATACGTGCGTGTCTGTTCTCTCGTGAATTTGGTAGATGGTTTTCTGACATACAGAAGATAAATGGATGGACGAGACCATCCATGCAAGAATTGCGGAAACTCATTGTTAGGCATGGCGGCGTCTTTCAGTCTTATCTCAGCAAGAAATCTTTAGTGTTCGCATTCCAATTCCCTATTATCGATGCTCGTGTTATATTGAGTGTTTACCACAGAACCCATATCATTACATGCTCCCTCACACCTGCCAAGATTCGCGAATTCAAGCATATGAAAGTCGTGAGACCTGAGTGGCTTGTCGAGAGCGCAGCTGCCGGCACATTGCTTCCTTGGACAGACTACATCTTCCATCCAGGCGGTAGAGCCGAGCCGTCTCAGGGCTCTCCAGTAGGACAAACCACATTGAAGTCAATCTCAAGATCTACGCCACCACCCAACCCTCAAGTACAGGTCAATTGGAATGAGATGGAAGACCCCGTTTCTCGTTCGAAGTCGCCGCCCAGTCCACTGTATACCACCGATCCTGCCACATATGAGGACGCTGTTCGAGTCCCTGGTTATGCTTTGGGACGGTCCAACGAAATGGCCGAACGTGTTATGGCTGATCCGCAGTGGAGAGCAGCCCACACATCAATAGCACCTGACTTTATCGAGGGGTATTACAAGAACTCGCGTCTACACCATCTCTCGATGTGGAAGGCAGAACTTAGGAATCTCGTCATGGAAGCTCAGGAACGTGCAGAACGCGAAGAATTTGGCGACTCGCAAAATAAGGACGGTCCAGTTGTACGGGAGAAAGCGGGCGCTCAGTCGACCTCGACGACGGATGTCAGTATGGGTGGCGCAGAGCTCATATTGAGATCTCCAACCAAGAACAAGGGAAAGCATAAAGCTGTCAACGACGAGAGAGTTATTATGCATTGTGATTTTGACTGTTTCTTCGTCTCTGCGGGGCTTACTACTCGGCCACAATTGCGAGGTAAACCCGTGGTCGTCTGTCATTCACAGGGAAATCAAGGTGGTGCGTCGAGTACGAGTGAAATTGCTAGCTCAAGTTACGAAGCGAGGTCGTTTGGCATCAAGAATGGTATGAGGTATGTCTCTTCTAGCCCTCATGTGCACCATGGTTCGAGGGCTTTGCCAGTCTACGACAGGCAAGGCAACTGTGCCCTTCGGTCGTGACGATACCCTATGAATTCGAGAGGTACGGGATGAGGTTCTTCGTCTTGGTCGCTGTCTGACGAGCTACCGTGAAAGATATAAAGATCTCTCTTTGCAATTCTATACAATTCTTATGCGTTATGCAGACGATCTTCAGGCGGTGTCTGTTGACGAAGCGTTAGTGGACGTATCACGTAGCGTGGAGAGTCGGAGAGCAGAGACCCCGATCCCTGTGGACGATCATACCCTTGCGTTGGCCCAGACCATCAGGGAGGAAGTGAAGGCAGCCACCGGGTGTAACGGTAGGTGCAAGGTAGTTTCCTGCCCCCTGTGGTTTGACTGGGAGTTTGTGCAGTTAGCATCGGTATCGCAGAAAACATCCAACTGGCTCGTATTGCTACAAGGAAGGCCAAACCTGCGGGACTCTTTCATCTGAAGCGCGACGACGTCCAAAGGGTACTCGACCCACTCGGTATCGATGACCTCCATGGCTTTGGACATTCAACGCGAGAGAAAGCGAAGGAAAAACTTGGTACGGCAAACCTGGGGGAGTTAGCCAAGAAGAGCAAAGGACAGCTTTGTGAAGCGCTGGGAAAAGGTACTGGAGAGACACTTTACAAAGCCATTAGGGGAATCGACGACCGCAAGCTTGAGTCCGATAAACCCCGTAGATCTGTGTCGTGCGACATTAATGTACGTCTTTCCCTCCTTTTCAGTTTGAGGCTTGTCTTCGAACCAGATTAAGTATGGCGTCCGATTCGAAAACAACGAGCAAACCGAGACGTTCATCTATCAGATGGCGGAAGAGGTCGCGCGACGAATGAACAATATATCCGTGCGTGGCAGATCGCTGACACTGAAAATCATGAAGCGCGACTCCAGTGCGCCGAAAGAGGCACCAAAGGCAAGAGACCATAACTTTCTCTTGTCGATGACTCAGTAACATAGTATCTAGTTCCTGGGGCATGGGATATGCGAGACCTTCAATAAGCAGACAGCTCTTTCCAACATACATGGTCAGGCTACTAGTGATAGCAAAGATATAGGAGACCATGCCTGGAAGTTGCTCCTATCCTTTAACTTCGATCCCAAGGAATTGCGGGGAATAGGTATTCAAATCCAAAAGTTAGAGAAGGCGGGCACGGTAGAGAGTACCGCACAAGCGAGACTGCCCTTCCAGCCTGCACTGCGACCCAAGATGCCAGAACACAAGGCTGAGTCAATGCAAGTCGCGACTGAGCATCCGCAGATTGTTGTCCAGCCTCCTTCTCAAGAAATGGTACTATCACAGGAGAATAGCACTGCCAAAGCTGAAGAGGCCTCTGCGCACGATATTCCTCCATTTTCTCAGGTGGACAGAGATGTGTTTGATGCACTGCCGGAAAGCATCCGTAGAGAGCTAGAGAACGAATATGAACGCCGTTCCAAGTCTCCTGTACCCGACAACCCCCCTCCTGTTCCGGCTGAGCGCCGCCCAAGGATACCAGTGAAGGGAACTACCACTGACGTCAAGCGGATCACAAGGCAGTTTGCACCTAGAAGCAAAACCACTATTTCTCCGCGAAAGAGCACGCTTTTCACCAAACGTCCCACTCGTGTTGGCCTCTCCTCCGTGCGCGTTCCCGAGGATGAACTCCGGGAGCTTGGTATTGACCCCGAGGTTTTCGCGGCCCTGCCCGTCGATGTGCAACGCGAGCAGTTGATCACGGCCCGACATCTCAAGAATGGAGGAGTGCTGACTGAGCCGACGGTTCTCAAGTACGCGAAAAGAAAAACTCGCGTGTATCCTAAAAAGCCCCCACCTCTGGCCAAACACCCACAACACCCTTTCTTAAAGCAGCAAGGTCCAAAGAAAGGAGAGAAGCTGTACTTTACGATGACGGATGATGTACAGCGGGTAATTGAAACTTGGGTCGAAAACTTCAAGGAAGACCCTCCGAACCAGAAAGATGTGGAGTATTTCAGCAAGTTCTTGGTGCAGAGTGTTGAGACATCGGATACGGGAATGGAGAAAACGATCGCCGTGATGAAGTGGTGGTTAGTGCTGCTGCGCAGATATTGGGAGTTCTACGAGCACGACGATCTGCTAGAAACTGAAGTTGTAACACAACGGATGACCTCGGAGAAGATAGGAAAGGCTTGGTGGGCAGCCTTCCGAGAGGTGAAATCCAAGGTGGATGAAATAACTAAGAAGCGCTTTGGAGGTACTCTTTGCTTGAAGTAATCGACGTGTATTATCCCTGGGCATTAGTTTATTTGTGACTGAAAGCTACGTACGTACCAGCAGACGAAGTTCTCGCAAGGAATATGATACGACCACTGTAGATATCAGTCACCCAGAATCTCACACATGAAGTTCATCTCTCCATTCATTTGTCTCCCCGGGCAACGAAGAAGGTCACCGACTCCGTCGCGTGTCTAGGCATTGCGTTCGTTGCCTTCGTGAAGCTGAAATTATGAAGTCCGGCACCTTCGAAGGCATTCCGAACTTCTTCAGCAGTGAAGCCACCCGTGTGGGGCACGATGTGGTGGGCGTTAGAAGGAAAGATCTCTTCAGATGACTGACTCTTGATTAAATCTGCG